TAAAATAATTTGGAACTTATATGTTCAACAGACAGAAGACATCCTTCTTTAGTTCATTCTAACCCTAACCCTAACCCTTAACCAGGATACTTTAAAGGGTATTTTTAGTGAACCAGTTTATATAAAAATGAATGAAAACTGGTCACCCCAAACCTGATAAAGCCAAGCACAGCCAGGTTTCCAGAGTTCCAAAGCCAGGGTACCACCACAAGCAGGTCTGACTGAGGGTACATGTCACCCCATGTGGCTATAAAGGCATCAGACATAAAGGAAATGGTGTTCCCTAAAAATGTTGGGCTTAGAAGCATTAGAAGTCATTGCTGGGTAAAATTTCCTTTCCCCTTGCAATGTGATTTTGCAGTTTGAGAGCTGGGAAAAGCAATTTCTCCAAAGCAACTGTTTCTGTTGAAGGATGAATTGTCTGGATCAGGTACAATAAATGAGTAAGCACCATTTATTCCTGACAGAAAATAAAACTTTGCTCAGAAAGGCCCTCAGAAGCCCAAATGAATATACTGAGATTGCCATATGTCTTTCTGGGCCAGTTATAGGTTTTGGAAATTACAGGAAGAAACAATAGGTTTTAATTGTCATGAGCAAATAAAGTGAAACAGGTACGATGTGATCTGAACAATAACCCGGTATCAACTGAATGCCACCCATGACCCTCAAGGACAAGATTCTTCTTTAAAGACATGACATGAACCAACAGTTACACTGCAGTGTTCACTTGATGTCTTGTTACCAGGAAGATTGACAAATTGGATGGAGTTCAGCAAAGAGCAACCAAATGATTAAAGAGCTACAGAGAGGGTGATTTATGGTGCATAATTTAGGTAAACAGCTTTATAGCTTAGTTGAGCATTGACTCGGGGATGCTATACAAAGGTGAGAGCCCAGATGATGTTGCAGGGGGAGGGTGTTAGGAGAAGGGAATGTACATATCTGAAGTGCGCAGAGCCAAAGAAAGCAGGGCACATGCAATCTAGTGAGAAAAGTGTGAAATAAGGACTGATGCTGTGCCAGGAGCTAAGGAAAAACAGTCACAACATGATGAGTGATGCCCATCATTAACTCTTAATGTGACTCCTAAGCTATGGCTCAGACTGTAAAAGCAACCTCTTACTGTTAGCATCATTCATAATTTCCTAATGCTGCCATTCCATTGACATAAACTGGAAGGGGCCATCGCTCTGTAGTGGAGCACATGTTTTGCACACAGACACAGGTTCAGCCCATCTCCCATTGTAAAAAAGATCGGTAGTTGGTGATAAAAAGCCCTCTGCCTGAGACCCTGGTGAGTTGCAACCAATGAATTGCCTCTGCTAGACAGAGTACGCAATGCTGGATTAGAGAGACATATAGCCTGTGTCTAAGCACTGCTTCCAGCTGTACCCTAACAAGAAAAACAGGGCATATCCATCCCACCATCCCACGTGTCAGTTTCCGGCACCACTGGAAGCCCTTTGCACCAGACCTCAGGCCTTGTGCCTGTGTGTACTGAAAAGCATTTTAGGTTGCCGGGAAGATTATACAACCTCAGTCCTGCCACACATGAGTCTTGTTTCCCGTGGAGACATCTTTGAGCAGGACCTCTGAAGCCATGCATGAGCACCACACAGAGCAGTGGCACAGCACCCAGGATCAGCTCAGGAGAGCACAGCACGGGCCATGGCTTTGCCCTGCTTTGCCAGCAGAGGGGCCCATGGCGGGATGAGCCGTGAAGTCCACAATTCGTACAAGGTCGGGTCTGGTGAAGCACTGGTGCAGCCCTCCCCAGCCTGGTGCCTGACAAATGTGCAGTGCAGTGCAGTGCAGTGCTAGCAGTGTACTAGCAGGGTGTGTTAGCAGAACACTCAGCTTAGAGAAATGGGCACAATCAGAAAACAGCTCTTGGCAAAAACAAAACAACTGCCAAAAAATGGGCTGTCTCGACCATTTTAAAATGTTAGCAACGCTTTATGTCTGATGCTATCAGCAGTCCTCCATACTGCCTCTTGCTTTGCAGCCTTCAGCCTCAGAGCATATCAAAGCACACAGCAAAACTCCTGTTGATTTTCATAGATCCAAATTTCAATTCATTTCATTGTCCAAACTATTTGCATTTGCACTTTAGGTCTAGCTTTCATTTAGATCAGGGGTCTCAAACTCAACTAACCTGGGGGCCGCTGGAAGTAGAGTCTGGGTGAGGCTGGGCCGCATCAAGTATCCCACCACCGCGGCGGTGGTGGTGGGCCGCTCATCTGGAGGCCGGCCCGGGCGCCACCGGTGCTTTGAAGACCGCAGGGCCCCTCCCCCGTGCCCTGCCTGTCCCGGCAACTGGCCCGCGGGCCCTGAGTTTGAGACTCCTGATTTAGATGTTAAACCTATGTCTGGGCACACCATTTCAGACGGTAGGTGAGGGTTCATAAATATGGCTGAACATGCCTCTGTACAAAAAGTAGCCCTTCCAAACAGAAAATAATTTGCCAGGGGAAAGAGCGCTAGCCTAGCCTTTTCCGCAACAGTGTGTCTGTAGATTTATCTTATGCACTCCTATAACATGAAAGTATAGATCCAATTGGTACTGTAAAACCAATTCTACAACCTCGGGAAGAATCTAGACCTTTTTTTTCAACAGCAGTCCTCCATGTATGTCTGATCCTGTGTATGCATGTTTGTACTGAGGCTCCCCAGACTGACTTTAGCACTTGATCAACTCTTCAGGGTTCTTTATACAATCAAACAGCTTACTATGGCTTATACAAGCCACAGGACTGCAACACATCTAGTAGTCATTACATATATTGAAGCCACAATTGCAGCTTGTTTTGTGATCCAAATCTGGTGCAGCAGAGGAATTGGGTGAAATCTAAACAATCCTTGTAGAACCTTAAAAGGCTATGGGTTCTCCAACGGTTGTTTAGCCCTCACACAACCCACCCCAACTGTGGAGGATACAACAATCCATGATAGCATGTTGAATGGTCAAAATAGTACCAGTGGATACCATGGTTCATCACGTCTTAGCAAGCTGATTGTGCAAACCCAGTCTTTGTTTCCATTGTAAGCCTGGTAGAAATTTCTGGGCTCAGGGAGGCACCATCTAGGCTGTAGGGTCCTGCCTGAGGGTCCAAGCAGCTGACTCCAAGGATCAATTCCAGTGAATAAGATCCTATGAAACTCTGGCTTCAAAGCTTTCTTCTCGGGCTGAACAAATTGTCTCTGTCAAGAAGATACTAGGTGCTTGCCCTCTTTCCTTTGTGGATGCCTTGGACCTCCACTTTGACTATCAATGGCTTCTTGTCTACACCCCCTGATCTATTATTGCTGTCTGAAATATTGATCTCCACCTACTTTGAACCACACACCTGCCCTCTGGCCTGCTTGGACTGATGTTCAGCTCTCCTGGATCTCAAAATCTGATGATAACTAAATAATTTTGAAAGTGTCAAGAATGTCAAAGCAGTTTGTAATACGCTGTTTAAAGAAAAAGAACATGAGCCTAATTAGATTTTTTGGATTGTTGTCCTATTCCATGAGGGATGATGATGATGGTGGTGGAATTCAAAGTTCCTTGTGGTAGATAAAACTATCAATATCTAGGAATTACAGTGGCTTTATATTAGGTCCAGTATAAATGGACCTAACCCAGTATCAATCTTTCCATAAGTGGAAGGGTGGACAGAAGGGTGCTTGTGGGCTTCCCATAGGTATCTGGCTGCCCCAGAGTTCTGGATGAGATAGGCCTTTGGTTTTATCCACAGTGAGTAATATGGCACTGTCTTTTGTTTGGGGTTCTCTTCATTTTGCTTTGGTACCTGCCTTAATCAGATCCCTCCTCTGCCAGGCACATAGATAGGCTCTGGGCATTTTCTATCCATGCAATTCCATCTTTCAAATATTGAAACCAAGCATTGCCCCAGGCCAGCCTATTTTGCCTTTCTTGATGCTAAGAGAAGCATGGAATTCTGTGTATGGGGCTGGCCCTACAATGAGGTGCACTGAAGCACTACACAAGGCAACAGATGCTGCAGAGAAGCAGAGACGGCGCCTGGCTGTTCTTCCAGAGCCCCAGAAGACAGAGCTACATGTGCCATGGAAACGTTCCTGTGTGTCCTAAGCTAGTTTACTGCCCTCAGGCATGGTAGAAGACACTGTCCCATCACCAGCATCAAAGTAAGATTCAGCTGCCAGTTTGGTCCTGTACAAGACATGGGAGAGTGCTCGCTTTTCCTTTGCCTTGGGCAGCAAAAGTCTTGGGTAGGCCCTGTCTGTGTCCTTCTCAGCTTGAAGAAAGGGACTTGGCTGGTTAGGGGATGAGCAGCTGCTTTCTGGGCCGGCACAGCACATGTAATCCACATGGGGAAGGCACACAGACTTGACCAACAGTGGGAAGAGTGGCCACTCCTCCAAGGGCTGGCTGAGTCCCCCCTCACCCACATCCCCACTGTTATCTCCAATCAAATCAGAGCAAACAGGGAACATTCCTCTCGGGTGGGTTCCTTCAAGAGACAGAGCTTGGAGAACAGCAAATCTCTGTGAATTGAATTAAGCATGCAAACAAGGGTTTTGCTTCCCGAGAATTAAACTTTTCTCTCCCAGCGTATTTTCCCTCTCAGTTTGTTTTCTGCCATACATGCAATTATGTTGGTATCGCTGTGTAAAAACACCTTACTGTTAGATCAGCAAACAATACAACCTTACACAGAAAACAGACACAGCAATTCAATATTCTCTCATATCAGCAGTTAACAACAAGCTTTTGGGAGAATCTAGGGTATAAGGAAGGTCTTCACTGCAGGCCTGGGAATTTTGTGAACCTGCGAGTATTGAAAGTCTCCAACACCCATCAGTCCCAATCAGCATGGCCAATGAGTCCAATAACACATGCAGGGCTACCGGTTTCCCCGTTCTGCTTTAGCAAAATAATTATTTCTGTTGATGTAGCCATTTCTGAAGAAAGTAAAGAACGTTGAAAGGAAATCAGCATTATGTATGACTACCAGCAGTAGGATTACCTGTATCCTGTCTTCAGGAAGTTCTGTTTTCATTGCCAGCATTTCCCTTGCATAGACATCGGGATAATGGGCCTCATTAAATGCTTTCTCCAACTCCTCTAGTTGATAGGATGTGAAGATTGTCCTGAAAAAGGAAATCACATTGATGAAAAAAGTAAAAATAAACAAAATTTTGAACAATTCTAAAAGACTGGAGGACCAACAGAATAGCTAAGAGAGTAAATAAAATATAGAGGGATTATTCTACAGACAAGGTTGTTCTAGGACAGGGAAAGTCATAGACAGTTTGGGGGATTTTAAGAGATAAATGTCTGTACAAAACCCAACAAATTACCAGGGAAACTTGATGTAAGAGTGCATAGGACTGCAGCCTTTAATTCCCATTTATTTAAATAGAAAGGTCAAGCAAGTGCTTAAAACATTGCTACTGAAACAAATAGGACCTATCCTGGGAACTATTTCTAAAGAAGATTCAAATGGGGGAAAGGGGACAAAATGTTTTTAATAGGCATACTTTTATGGGTTAAAATGTTTTCAATGGGCACACTTTTATAGATACTTTTTATCATTTTAGCAACATACTAAATGGGCAGTCCTTTTCCAGGTTCTTTCTTCTGTTAGTTGTCAACAGAGTCATCACAAAAGCAAACCCACTTCTGATAGAAACTACTCAAGATTTAAATGAGGGGAAAAGATATTCTCAGAGAAAAACAAATGACCCCTCTCCCCCAAAGTAGCAGGATTTTTTAATTTGTCCTCTTGGCATCCTGTACTTCTTCCAAGATTTTAGAATGACATAGATGGGTTACATGTACACTTATCCCTCTGTATATCTGCCTTCTTCCTTTATTAAGTAGATTTGTTTCCCTGGCTTTTTGTGCCATGATCTTAAAACAGCCTTACTTGGATGAAAGCTCCTTTGCAATCCACAGATAATGGCATTTGGACTAGAGCGTAAAATTAAGTTCCTCACATCTATATCTAATAATGTACTATCTCGAAGTATTTAATAAGAATTTATCTCTTCAAGATGATGAATTTCATGTTAAGAACCTACTTTTGCCATACATTAAAATAATAAGGGCAGCTTGTTTGAGGAACTAGTTTTAAATAAGGCAATATAATAGCACCTAAACTAATAAAAGTTATGGATTAAAAATAACATCCAAATTAGAATTAATAAAACTTACTTCTGTGAAATATAAAATCACACTTGCTATTTGTCTCATAGTACTGAAACAAAAGCCTAAAAGAAGATACCACATTTGGCAAATTCATCAGATTAAAATCCATCAGTGTGAATCTGGTTAAGTGGCTTTCAAGTCTTTAAAATGACAGAAGTCATATTTTGAGACAGAGAAATTTGGGTCACTCTTTTTAATAATTATAGTGAATGCCTTCATTTTTGAAGGTTAGATGTTATGGCAAAATTCAAAATTTAAAGAGTAAAACCCAATATTTGTTTCCCTACAAATTTTGCCATTATTCTTGTAATGCAGCATTCAGATTTTATTGTGTTTTATTAATCGTTGTACACTGCCCAGACAGCTTCAGCTACTGGTGAATTCAGACCAAATTCATACTAATTCATAACAATAAAACTTAATAATACAATATAAGCATTTGCAAATAGCAATCTTCTTTCAGTGCCCAGTTAGTAGTTTTTAGACATTTAAACTGATGTGATGGCCACAGCTTTTCCTTTCCTCTTATTTGGAAAATGCCCAGTCCTTCCTCATCTGCTAATCCTATGTTTGTAAATTATCTGAGCAACACAAAGAGTTCTAGCACTTAGCAATCTAAGTACAACTGCAATCAGCAGTTTAGCTTAGCTCTGCCATACTGCCGAACCATCGTATAGTTTTACATCTTCAAAACAATGCATTTTATACCAAGGCAATGCTTCCTCTGGGTTTGTAGAAGCCAAATAAGAAATTGCTGTACTTTATATACACACAGCAATCCTATCCTGCAAACTAGCATGTGGAAACAAACGACTGGAAACAAATGGAAGCACAACTGCAGGAGACAGAGAAAGATTTCTGCAGAGAGGATAATGTACAGATCTCATTCATGTTCCAGTTGTGCTGCAAATTTGAATGAACGTTAGGCTATCCAGACAAATTTCTGAAGCATGGAAACCTTTTGGTTCTATGATTAATCTATCCTGGGAACAGTCTGCATTCCAACATTTTTTCTGT